TCTCCAAATAGAATTAAAGGAAGATGTTAAACCTTTATTAAGCCAGAAGAGATTTCAGGTTTGATTTGTTTACATTTACTCAAGACGCGTTACCTTGCAAAGCTATAGACGTTTAGATGAAAAATAGATTACCGTATGGTTTTCTGTTTATCCTACTTCAACAGTTGTTTGTGTTGCGTTCCGTTGTTGGCATTTTTTTTTTGTTTGTTTGCTTTGTTGTTTGGGTCTTATCTTTTTTCTACTGTATTTTGGTACAGACGTGAAAGAGCCATCCAAACATGCCTTGTGTCTACCCTCAGTACTATCTATCAACCGTCCACCTTTTACCTTTACACGAGTCATCAAATAGACACTCTGGTTCGTCTTCAGGAATCTTGGTTGATCCCCCAGGCCACACGGCAAGTACGTTGGAATGCATTACGACAGCTCCGTTTGAATCCAGCTCTAGCAGCACTGATCCACTGCTTTCGTGTATATTTTCAAAGACAAAATGTGGCACACGATTTCCTTTCTCATCAATCTTTACAGGTCCAGACATTCCTGCCAATTCATAAGGACAACAAATAACTCCAGCGAAGTTCTTGAATATGAAAAACCATTGTTTTATAACAACTCAATCCAAAATGAAGTGGTGGATGAAAGTAAAGAAAAGAAACAAAGTATTTAAGCTTTATCAGTACTGACCCAGATGGCCGAAACTTCAGAGGGTGCCCAAGAGGGGAAAGATATGAATAGACAGTGCCGAAGGATATATCTATTGCAAGATACCTGTCTCAAAAAGGAGACAAACCTTGGTCAATGTCTCATGCTTCTACATTTTCCATTTCTCTTATAATTACATAATGAAGGTCTCTTTTAATGGGGAAACGGTTCGTCAGAAGTCTCTTAAGGACCAAGAAAGGAGATCCCCTTGAATAACATCCAAAGTAAAATGTTGATTGAACATCCATATAAATCCAGTAAACAGATGTAACATCTCATAAGGCCTTAGAATATTACCTATAGTTACCTAGCTCATGTGTGTCAACAGCCGTGATCCTCAGCCTCAAACCCTCATTAAAAATATTTGAAAGATCGCTTATCAAACTAGTAATTATGCGCAGAGAATGCTTTAAATCCCGTTGAAGTTTTGTTGTTTACCTGTAAACAGAGGAGTTTTAGTGACCATGTTCTTGAACACCGTTGTGCCATTGGATATATTACCTCCTTGGCTAAGAGTACGATTAAGGGCATATGAATAGAGTAACACGGCGTCGTAAAGGTAAGGAGCAGTCTTAGCGGCCTAAAACAGAAACATTGCTGGTTAAATGAATTATTAGCTTACGAGACAGCTTCTCGACAACTAAACGTTAGGAACAAGTTTTACCCTCTAACGACATCTCGAAAATCTACTTTACTGATTTTTCGGGAAAAAGATACGAGGTTAGCTAAAATTCTTGTCAAAGCTGTGCTTCAGTATGTAGACTGGTGGAAAATCTTTCCCTCGAATGCATGTAATGATCTGATCGAGTGAAAATAAAACAGCATTTCTATCTAGGAAGGCAATTACTAAAAACATATTTCTTTAGTATAAGCGTTGAGTGTGGTTGGCTTCATTTTTTCTATTTTCAGTAGTGCAATGGAACATTACAATATTAGTTGCCATTTGACAAATAATTCTGCACTTAATGCCAATCTTATTTATCATCGAGTGCCCTACTAAAAGTGCGCTAATAATCTTTATTAAAGTCCAACGACATCAACATCAAGCAATATTACAAACTTAAATCATAAACATTTCTTCACTTATATATTTACCAAAAAGGTTGCAGTGAGATTTTGAAACACAGCCATGTCCTGAAGGCCTTTGTTTAACCATTTTGTGATATTTTTAAGTTCTTCGCCACCAGGTTTTTTGACGGACAAAGTTATGAGCCCTTCAAATATCCCAAGCATCTTCTCCCAACTCAGCGACCACGTTCTCTTAGCCAAAGATGTTCTGAGAGATTCTGATATGTAGAAATCCAAAGTTATAAAGGCGAAATCTCCCTTCAGCATTCCCAGCTCCTTAGCGATCAATAACAGACGCGCAACTTCGGTTCTCGTGGCGAGAATGAATAAAACTAAAAACAACAAGAGAAAAGGAATGTATAAGTTAACTGTTAAAGTGATGCGAATTCTTCTCGCTATACAGCATTTTCGTTGAGGAATATTTTATGATGCTTTTTACGTTCAAATTTAAAGCATGATGGACGTCTGTATATGAGCCACTTTAGTTCAGTATCTCGTCCAGGTTTCTATGAAATCAGATCCTTCCTTGTGAAGATGAACCATTGTGAATGATCGACTCACAGAAGGTAATTTCCAATGAGAAAATGTTCTTTCCTGGTATTCTAGTTCCCATCAATATTTATTTTGAATACTCTGAAGCGGTAAAATTGATTATACATTCTCAACAAAAATTTTTGCTTTCTTTCACATTTTCTTGTTCTTCTATAGCTTACCCCTAGCGTATTTCTTTGTTTCCGCAAGTAGCTTCTTGGTGTCTCTATATTGCTTTTCTGGATCATCCCTAACCTTATAGACATTATAATACGAAACTGTCAAGTTGTTACTTTTGAAATGATTGTAAACGTTGTTCGCAATCGGCGCCCAGATACTCGTGGGGCCGTCATCTTTGGCAAGAATTGCCGACCTCTGCCATTTAAACCTGCGCATGATCTGGAATAGAACTAAAGGTGTACTTTCTGAATATGTGCGGCTAAATGGCTGCGTTCTTGCAAAAGTAGCATATTTGTTCCTGTCCTCAAGCTCCAACGATGAACACGAAAACGATATGATAGGTTTATTCCAATGTCGTGCAAGGAGCCCCGCTGAAAGGCAAGCTACCGAACATCCCGGGCCTATGTACGCATCTACGGATGTTGATGATCGCATAAGGTCAGCGGTTAACCCTACCGCTTTTACCGAGTCACATGCGCTGTTATGAACCGTGTACGTCAAATTGACACCAACAAGAAAATTCGGATCGTTGTTGACATCATCAAAAGCGGCTTTTATTGCTGGCCTTATACTATCTCCCACTTTAAATGTTCCTGTTATTGGCACCAACACTGCAACACGAACTTCCTTGCATGCCGCACAAGATAACCACAATTGAAAACAGGTCACGTACAGAGAGAACATCGTGACTTATCGAAACCTGCAGTACTCAGTTATCAGTAACTTTCTGAAAAGAAAAAATAACAGGTGCACTTTATCATAACTAACTTGATGGACGCATAATCAACATTTGAAGTTTATGAAATATATTGAAAAACTTGTTTGCTCAACTCGGACATGGTTATTCAAGAAACTTCGATGAAACTCAAACATAAGAGAAATGGTTGTTAGAATGTCGTCTCGTGTGACAACGAGATTAAGCAAACCGGAAACAAAGAATAACTTCTGATCTCTTCGATTTAGAAATGGCTGAAATGTTAACGCACACTTAAGTGACTACCGGGGCTAATGGGCTGTCAAATCAGCATGAAGATTAAGACAGTTATACCAATTGCACCATAATAATCTTAGAAGATGGGCAATTATTACCTTTTTTTTGTTTTTTTTTTTCGCTTTATCGAGTGGATAAAGCGGGTGAACTTTTGAAAAAAAAAAAACTGTGGTGCTATGCCAGAGCGAACAGCGAAGGTTTAACGACGGTGACGCTCTAACGAAAGGCTAAGTCTTTCCATTCGCTCAGAGGAAGGGCTAACGCACGAAACGTCAGCTTTCAAACTCTTTATGATGGTCAATTTATATTATCAACTCATTTAATAAAACCAAAATTACCTTGCTATACTCCCCCACCGACGCAGCACCACAGTTTTTTAAAAAACTTACCTCCCTGAGCCATAACTTTCTTTCTATACGCGGTGCTCAATTTACATTCACATCTCAATATAATTGTACTCAGTTTAGGGCGACCTGCACTATCAGTGAAAACGAGTCTTAAAAATAATGCTGATCTTTAAAAACACATCCAATTTGTTCTTGTCTTATTCTCGATGCGCTACCTGGTGCATAATTTTGTCTAAATAAACATTAAATCGAGAAATGAATCACTAATTTGAAGTCGAACGACTATCAATTATGCATGGTACGGATATGAAGGTTTCACACTGTCTTTTTCCTTGTGGCAATTCGAAGCAGCAGACATTTTCAGTTCAAGATAATGTCGGACTTTGGAAAATTAGCCAGTTTTAAACCCAAAACTATTTTCAGCTCGGCAAATGTCATAATACACTTGAGTAATGTTTATCTCATAGTCAATGTCTTCCATATCATTTTCATTGACAAGACAAAACCGCGATAGACTCGTCATTTTTCGTTTGATTCATTGGATCAAGAAGTGCATTTCAAATTTTGTTTTTGTTCTTCAATTCCTTCCCAGCTTTCGGTTGTGTTGTTTTAACAATTAGGCTCGCAATTCTTTTTTAAGGGAAGACTAACCCCATTTGGTGGTAATTACTAAACACTGTTATTCTTCGAATTAAGATATTACTCAATTTATTACCCTACCTCGACCGCTGAGAAAGCTTCAGTACTTCTCAGTTTTCAATTCATCGATGCCAACTTGTAGCTTAACTCGATTAGTAAGATGGTTATAAGCGGAAACTCAGAGAGCAACGTTTGAAATAATAACCCACGCTTTGGCAGATAAACGGTTGGGTGCATAAGAGCCACATCATGAGGGGCGGAGCCTAGAGCCATTTACAAGAGTCAACACAATTTACTTTTCAATATTTGTTTTGCCGAATAGTATGATCTTCGCCTTTTGAAAAAGTAAGCCTCCCCAAAAAGATTTATAATTAAGCTTGACCATCCAGAAATCCATAAAAGCACCACTGAAAATAGCCTCTTGTTTTACCCGATTCGAATCTCTTTAATTAAGAGGCGTCTTTTGCCCTACAGGAGGCTTATCGAATATTGATTTACATCACGTACATCCCCCTAGTATATCCGAAAGAAAACCGGAGTAAGCTAACGCGGTTACAACTTTTCTCAACTTTTAAAATTTTACTTGCTCGTCTTTCAGAGACAACTGCAAAGTAATATTGGAAAATAATTCTTCTTGTTTGACATCAAAACAAATGATATAGCAGGTTATTGGGCTGTTATTCAAATGTTTTCAATTTAAGCCCCTCCGTTTGCTAAATTATTAAGTTTCCTTTGCTTGTTGCTAAACTGTATAATTTGTATCCTAAATTGGAAATATATATCAAAATTTTGTTAAGCGGATAAAAACACTAACAGGTAGCGACTCGCTCGCGTCAGTTTCATCTGCTAAACAATATAACTTTGGGGTGGATTATATCAATAAATCTTACCTTAATATATTCCGATCAGAAGTGACAGACGCGAACTGACAAAGAGGAGTATTCTAAATATTGTTTCAAATAATATTTCGACGATTCCGTTCTCGTTTCCATAGCTACCGTTGCCTTGAGGTCAGCTTTGGTTATAAATGCAAATACGTATTTGAAAAATTTTCACTTGTTAAAATAAAGAGCAAGGACTCTTTTCAATTTTCTTTGGTGAAAGAAATTTCAGTAAAGTCGCCAAGCCCGAAAGAAAGAAGGTAGTTGAATTTTTTAGAAAGTTGCTCTTGTAAATAATATTCATATTGAAAATGACCGGATTTTTCGCATTTTCATCTCTTCTTCTTAAATCGTCCTTATTATTGGTGCAAATTAAACTTATCCTTAATCCTCAAAACTACTTGCGTGAAAGGTGAACTTTTCCCTAGTGAAATTAAGAAAAGGGTGTGGTGTTTTACGAGGTCTGTCGACCGATTTTGATCCATTATTCTCTAAATTTGAGCGAGGTGGCTTCCAAATTATCCGCCCCCACTAATGTGGATGCCAAATGATGTCGTTGCATTCTGCCAGATGAAAAAGATGTCAGTTTTCTCAGAAGGCAAAGACAAAGTCGTTATGCATATATTTGTCCATCATACTAAGAAGGGCTTTCAAGAACATCATTCATGAAAAATGGGTACTCAAAGCGCTCCTTAAAAACATCGAACTCTGATTCTGTAATTCAAAAGAGTTTTTCCGGGTCCTTATTTAAAATAGTAAAAATTGACCGCTCCATTTTAGGCTGCAAACAAGACTAACTTTTTTTTTAAGCGGTTGTATGAAATCTCGTATTGTGGCTTTTTGGGGGCTTTCGTCAATCTTTTTTTCATATTTAAAAAAATTCGGCCGCCGTTTTGTACAACAGCCCCTTCTGCAAAAAAATTTACAAGATCTACATTTCAAAGTCCAGTCATCGTTTTTAAAAGCACCGGCTCACCGACGATATTTTCAAAACTTATATTGGAAAAATATTTTTAACCTTTTGACCTTCTCGCTAAAGGGTATCCCATTTTTGATCTAGGCAAAACAATAGGCCTTTTGCAGCTAAGCCATCACGTGACCTATTTTTCATGAAATTATGGGCTATAACTTAGCCGAATTCAGAAAAGGAAAAAGCATTTCGAAAATAACAAAATGGCCAAGTTTAAGGCCTCCATTATTCTAACATGAGATTTGATGACACTCTGAATTTTTTAATAAATAAGAAGGTTTATATGGAAAAAGTTGCTGGAGAGCAAGGCCTTGCTCTCCAGCAACATTCTCCATACAAATCCTCTAAATTTTCCCAAAGTTCAAACCGCTCTAAAAACAGTGCTCTGTAATTCCCGGGGCCCAAACTTGGCCTTTTGTTATTTTCGATTTGCTCTTTCCATCTCTGGTATTCTTCAAGTTGTATCCTATAATATATATCTAAAATTGATCACGTGACCCCAGCTGCAAAAGTCCTATTTCAACTAACTTTCGCCACTCGATCAAATGTTTTCTCATTTAGCCACTAAACAGTCTTGGAAATGCAAGGCATAGACCCATGGCGTCAGAAGTACTAGTTGAGCCTTTTTGATAATACTGGTATAGTTTCCGTGTCAGTGATCGCTCTGACGAGCAGTTGGAGACCTATACCTCTAGTCCCAGCCTATAAAACGCACAAAAAAAACTAAGGGGGGCAGCATTGAAAAAAATCCTTCACAACAACAACAAGAAAAACCCAGACTTGAGTTGATAAATGAATATGATAAAAGCAACAGAGGTGTGATGTTTATATTCTATTGCCTTCACCCAACGCAGGTGCACTGAAAAATAAAACGTGGAACTGACCAAGGCAATGATCAAATGATCACCGAAAGTTGTTGATGGTGCAATTTGAACTACTGTTTATAGTATTTTTGTCAATGAAAGAGGAGCACAGGAAATTTTATTTTTGTTTGCAAACCACTCTATATGTAAATGAGGAGAGTGAACGAAATTTAATTTGCGAGATTTGACTCTGGTTCGTTTCGTATTCTAACTTGAAATTTATGAAGTGTTTTGAACAGAAATATGAAACGATCATTTCGCCTTTGTAAAACCATTCTCTTCTTTTACACAAAGTCTCTACAACTGCTTTAAACCTGAATAAATAATTATTTTGTTCCATAGTAGAACTTAAGACGGAATATCTTAGTTACAGCAGTTTTTCCTGCAATATTTATTGAACGTATAGATTTTATTTATTATGAAAAAGGTGGCACATGAAAAAAGTTATACCTCGTTAAAAATCACCAAGAGATTTCGACTTTAGATTGAGACTCGAGTGCACCGTTTTGTTAAAGACATTTGAAAACCTAGGGTGTCTTTGAAAACTGCGAAGAAAGAGTAAACAATAGAGACATAGGACTACAGGAGAATCTCATATCAACTTTTTTGGCAGCGCATCGATTTTTCTGTTGTAACTAACTGGTTTTCTGTTATATCTGCTGCTAGGCTGCATTACTTATTTATCAAGATATATCTCAGTGACCGTACTGAACATTTCAATCATCCACTATAATCATTGATGAATTAATAGAGGAAAAAATTTTCTGAGACAGTGGATTGTATTAGTACTCTCAATTAATCTCAGTCTCCCCAAATGAATTAGAACTAAGCCAGACCGGGCCGGTGATAAGAAATTAAGGAGCGTAGAATAACTATATAGTGCAATAGATAATCACTTACATTGTTATCCTTGTTAGCACTGGGTCAGAGATTGCCAATTGATATGTGCCTTAGAATCCGACACAATTTAAATAGGTTGGCTTATTTTCGCTCCTGCATTTAAAAAAAAATGTTATATAAACTTTTCAAAAGATGAGCATAAATTTACATATTGTAAAGGACCATGCAGCTGCGTAAAAACACTGAAAGCACTCCTGACACTTTCACAGCTTTCTCAGATCAATGCCTTGTCGCTTTGATCTAAATTGACTAGCTATCAATTGTGCATTGCTTTCTTGTAAGATGAAAATAAAACTTGTCCAGTAAATATGACCTCAGAGATTTTGATGTGAAACTTTATTACATAGCTCCGAGATCAGGAGGGAAGAGGCGACAATTTTTCCTTAATTACGGACGAACAATGGAATCTGGAGCGACCGTGGTGGCTGGAACAGGAAGCGAATTAATCAGTATGTCTTGGAATGGTTTAGTATTTGGTATTGATATAAATATATCAGTTAAAAGTCTACTCTGCAGTATAGAATGCTTATTATATACCGATGTATAACCGCTCACAATTTCGTCACTCTTGATTTCATATAGATTATGTTTTATGTAGATCATGAATGACATAGCTAATGTGACGTTATGAAAAATTTTAATCTCAAACAGTCGCGGCGATGTGACTAACAGTTTGTCTGAACACCATCGCCAAAAAAAGACCGTTTCTGAGGTGAAATAGCGCCACAGTATAAAAGGAACCACAGCAACCAACGGCCCTGAAGGAACTGTGTCGAATAAAACTTAAGTCTCACTTGGACATCTTTCGAAGAAGGAATGCGCCGCCTGAACAAGAGCATATTGCTTCAATTAACGACGATTATTTCAAAGACATTGAATTGTGCACAGTTGTGGAGAATCTACACACAGTTTCCCATTTTAAGCATGAGACTTTCACCGCATTGCAGTATTCCCAAGATTTTGGAATAATTATCAAGGAGTCTTTGAAGACAGTAACAAGGGTAACCAAGTATTATACTCATGAAAAATCCTGCTATCCTGTTCCTCAGACCACCACGCAGTTTGCAAATGTCATTTTTATGCGACCTCTACCTTCAGAAGAGATCAAGCCCGAGACTGAAAGTACCATGAAGTAATTTTTGGAGAAGTATCGTTCTTTGAGGCAAAGGGCGGTTTGGGAGGAAACTACCATGGATAAGACAGAGACTTTACCACCGGCCGTCTACACGAAGCAAAAAGATTACACCAAAGTGAACTCGGGACTAGGGAACGATTTTGAGATCAGCCAGTGGTGCTCAGCATTGACAAAGGTACCCTTCAAGCTACTTCGGAAAGTGAGAATGTAACAGATGTCACATTTGTTGACGACGATATCGTTGAAGTGGCAGTTGCTGAGGCGCGAACATATGCAGACGAATGTAACACGGACTCAGAAAACGACCTTTCTGTCCTAGAGGATGAAGATGTTACCCCAATTACGATTTCTAGATCCGGGCGACCAATTCGCGCCCATTTTCGCTCGGATTTCTAAGATAAACTTACAGTAGATATCTCTAATAACCTTGAAAAGTAGACAAAAGAACGCTCCTTTCCGATCATTTCATCCGCGCCAATCGCAATCGATGCATTGTAAACCAGTATATTGTCCCAGAGGACTCTTCACAACTTTTCTGTCTTTGTGATGATCTACTTTCGAATATTTTGACCGGCTAAGTGGTTGAAAAGGAATGTTTCAATGTTGCGCACGGGCAAACAGAATATTGTGTGCAGAAGAGATGTAACTTACTTAAAAACCCTTCCAACAAAGACTGAAAGTTACTCGGAAGATATTGGAATTATTTCATTCTAGAATTGACAAATTAAAAAGGAGTTCTGATTGTATCAATTTTCGACTCGTTCAATTTTCGAGTTTACGCTATGTGTGCCTTTTTAGCCAAAAACTAGGGTCGGAAAGTAATTATTAACTCGCCAAGTTAATTATTAACTGTCTTTTAACTGAAACTAACATATGGCCTAAAGTCGAACCGAGAACTGGCAAATGGCCGAAATCTTTTAACTGACAACTGACATTTGTACCCCCCTATCCAGGCACTCTTAACTAGCTCTCTCTATCGTGAAACTGAAATACTGTTATGAATTTCAAGCGTTGGAGACGAGAATTTTCTATGCCAAAATTAACAAAGAAACCTATGCAAGGATGCCTAAGGTATAAATTTTAAAATTGTTTCTATGAGACCAGAATGGATTACAAGCCATGTAGCAATAAATGACCGTCCAAACCTGTGCTCGAGAAGTAATTGTAACGTTTATCATTTTCAGCTAAATATTCATAAATTCGAAAAAGGGAATAAACGTTACTGTTAGACGGGAATGAGTTAAAACAAAATCAAAAGGTGCAGGCCATATCCACGGACCGCATTTAATTAACAACGGCCTTCACTTTAAGATATAACAGTCGATTGTGCCCCGGAGTTAGCAGGTTACTTTTTTCTCACACCTGACTAACAAAATAATTTTCACGAGTACCATTAACACACTCCACATGGTTAGACCGAAAGGAAGTGAGATTACTTTGCACATAAAGCTAAAAATGCAAAATTTATTTCTCTGATTTTTTCTTTTCCTTTTCTTTTTTTTTTTTTTTTTTCGACTAGGGGAATTCATATGACGACTACGTATTTCAAAAATTTCTCCATGATTCGGCTTGATTCCAATAAACACTGAAAAAAGCATCATGTATCACTTATTTCTTTGTTCATATTCGCAGTATCAATAAGGAGTTGAAGATGTTATCATGGCCACGTATGGAAAGACGTTATCTGCCTCAGATGTCTAAGAAATTTACAAAACGTTTGAAACACACGTGCTGAGCTACTGTTCTGCTTTTTACTGCGTTTTCGTTGCCGTACTCGTTGCTCAGTGGTGCAGCTACTGTTTCTGTTGCCACTGTTGCTATCTTTGAGTCCTTATCGACTTACACTTTTTACTGCAACATATCCAGATTCGTTGTAACTGAAAAGGTTTTCTTGATTCCATAACGTATTCAGTTTGTGGGAATGGACTCCTAAATATAGGTTTTTTTTTATCAATATTTATCGAAAAATTTTGGATATGCACGTAAATTGCTGATAAAACATTAAGCACAATCCTACAGGCACGCTTTACGTTTTGTTGCTACCGCCAGCTCGAAGCTAGAAAAGCAATCGTCACAGCTATAATGCTTAGGATTAAGGCTTACAAGATTACACTTTTGACAGGTGGATCAAACGAGTCTTCCCGAACACAAATTAATCTTAAATTTTTAGCAATGATATGTCACAACTCTACGGTCCTGAAAAATCAATTTATTCATCTTACGAGGGGCAAATATGAGTAAATATTTAAATTGGTACCTCTTTAATGATTACGATAAGCCTGAGAGCCCACTAATATTTTTCAAATTTAAGCAAAAATGATTTACAGACCTGCTTCTCCTAGAAACAAACCGCAATAAAGTTGGTTTTCACTTTTATATCTTCTTCAAGAAGAAACCTTTTCCCTGCGTCGACGCTAACGAGCCTTTAGGAAGAACTCATATGCAAATTCATTAGCAGAAACTTCTCGGTTGTCGATCTGAATGATATTCTATCTTAGAAAGCATATATAAGGCCTTCAATTTCACTCAGATTTCATTTCCGGGTAACATTAAATTGAGCACTGTTTAAATCAAGAAACATAAGTGTTTCATGACAAAAATGCTCTGTCAGGTTCCATTGTCATTGTGCTAGGTTTAAGTCACGCATCAGGTTTTCCTAACTAACATCTGCAGTCCAAAACGACCTGAGGTTAAAACACAAAATTGTCCTTATTTTAAAAATAGCACAACATACATGCACTTTAACTTAGAGCTTTCCCGAAAAGACCCTTAAAAATTATATAAATATTACTTTCCGAAAAAAACAAGCTAAATTGGTTTTAATTTCTTACCCTAAATGTTTTCCCTTTATATTCAATGCGACAGAAAAACATTCGCAATTTCGCGGAAATTAAAAATTCAAAAAGCTTTTGGCCAGGTGAACGGGTTAACGTGGAGAAGTTTTGATTAAAATTTTTTTTTTAATCACAGTCCCTATCATTTGAGACTAAGCTACAAATTGTTAGTTACATTGTTTACGTACATTGCACCAGCTCTATTGAGAATTGAATGAAATATTATCCCGGTGGGGTTTTGGAGAATTACAGTTTCGTGTCGACTTTCGCGAACTATGCATCAATTTTCTTGACCCGCTATGGCAACTGAGACACCAAACGATGAATTTGATTTTACATCCAAAGCATTTAACATTGTCCAACCACCTACCAGCCATATATTTTAAAACTAACCATATTTGCACTCAAGTGTTATTTCGGCTATAAATAAAATAGGTTGTCAGACTAAATCATTATTTCTACTTCTGCTATCACGATTCAGAATTTGTTAACGCGTCAGCGGATGAAAAGGTGTGGTCTGGATACTATCCATGATGATCATCCATGGAAAAAGGATGGAGAATCCAGTGCAAGTGTATCGTAACAAGTCTTGCAAGTATTAGACAAATTCCTGGATAAGCGATGTGCATACCTTATATGGCAAAACAGATTTCAATGATGAATTTTGTTTGACTTTGTTTTTGTTGTTATTTGGAAGTTAAGCAGAACGGCGTTTGTGTTACGAGGGTCTCAATGGGGGAGGGAAGGGTCACGTTGAAGGTTGACGGTTAAAATAAGCCCTTTTGATGGTTGAGGGTTAAATTTTAGGTCATTTGACGGTTGACGGTTAATTTTGATGTTTAAAACAGGCGTAGATCGAGTCTAAAAGGCGCACGGAGTATTCCCAAGGCAAGGTCAGGGGAGTATCTCACTACTCCCTCCCATTTAAACTTGTTTGACTCGATTAACTATTGTTTTTTTTATAGATAACCTTCATAGAAGAGTTTGAATCAAACCTAATGCAGTGCTTTTCAGTAATTAGACCTTAAGTCATTAACTCCTTTAATGCAGTTGCTTAGTATATTCTCCACTGCTTTACCGCGAGAAAATACAAAGTTTAAGCCATCACTTGGTGTTCTATATTCAAAAGTTTTAAATGTTAAGTAAACGCCGCGCAAATAAATGCGCATTTCATGTAGTCACCTAGATACCGTTGTGTTACTCTGACGGAAGAGTAACTCAGCTCTGTATCTGCTTACTTTTTCACGAAGAGTTTAACGCATATGAAAGGAGCGCCAAAAAGATTTAAGTGCTGATGAGAATTTTCGTGTGGCAAATTGCGTTATTGCAAGAGTATAGTAGCTCTGAACTGTGTCTGGGTGTTCTTCCCTCAAGAGTTTGTCTCGGATTTCAAGAGCACACTGTTTAGACTGAAGTGCTGACGAAAAGTCGCCTGAGACATGTTGTGTTTCTCCAAGAGAAAAATAACTCTGAGCTGTGTCCCGGTGTTCTTTCCCGAAAAGCTTAACTCTGATGTCAAGGGCACGCTGATGGGACTAAATTGCCGACGAGAAGTCTCCTGAGGCATGCTGTGTTTCTCCCAGATAAAAGTAACTCTGAGCTGTGTCTACGTGTTTTTCCCCAAAGAGATTAACTCTGATGTCAAGAGTTCGCTGATGGAACTGAAGTGCTGACGAGAAGTCGCCTAAAGCATATCGTGTTACTCAGAGAAAAATGTGACTCTGAGCTTTGTCTACGTGATCTTCCCCAAAAAGCTTAACTCTGATGTCAAGAGCTCGCTGATGGGATTGAAATGCTGACGAGAAGTCGCCTGAAGCATATCGTGTTGCTCCGATAGACAAATAATTTTGAGCTGTCTCTGGGTGTTCTTCTCCGAAGACCTTAACTCTTATGTCAAGAGCACGCTGAAAGGACCGAAGTGCTGACGAAAAGTCTCTTGAGACATGTTGTGTTGAACCGAGAGAAAAGTAATTCTGAGCTGTCGATCTCTAGGTGTTCTTCCCCGAAGAGTTTAACCGTTATGTTAAGAGCACGTTGATTGGACTTAAGTGCTGACGTGAAGTCGCTTGAGGCAAGTTGTGTTACTCCTAGATCAAAATAACTAACAGCTGTTTCTGAGTGTTCTTCCCCGAAAAGCTTAACTCCGATGTCAAGAGCACGTCAATGGGCCTGAAGTGCTGACGAGAAGTCACCTGAGGCATGCTCTGTTTTTCCTAGAAAAAAGTAACTCCGAGCTGTGTCTGGATTTTCTTTCCCAAACAGTGCTGTGTCTGGATTTTCTTTCCCAAACAGTGCTGTGTCTGGATTTTCTTTCCCAAACAGTTGTCTAACCGGATGTCAAGGGCACGTTGAAAGGACTGCATGGCTTCAGAGTAGTTTTTCATCTGATGAAAAGCGCAGCCTTGGTCTAAATAGCTTCTTAAAAATCGTTCTCGATGCACAGTTAAATCAAGATTATTGTCAGGTTTTGTGTTACTTCCTGCGTTAGCTTTTCCACTTTGCTTCAAGGTCATGTTATGATAACTGATCCATGTGCCGCACAATTTGGCTGCTTCTTTGGGATTATCCAATACATTCTTTAGTGTCGAATTGACGTTGCGTTGGAAGGTCCACAAACCAATTGAGAGTGGGAGGATCTGTTCTTCTGTTTGATTTGACATCTCCAGCACAGAATTGCTCATTGCTTGCTTTGTTTCGTCATCAGAGAATTGTTTTGTTGCTTTACCAACAACGCAAATCATTTCTAATCTAAGTGGTTGAGTGGTTGTAACATTTGGTTCTGGTTTATTTGCCTCAATAACTTTTGATTGTCTGTTTTCCACTGAGGGAATAACAAGAAGACTTGTGTTTCCTAATGCTCTGTATTCTTGTAATGCTCTGTTGTTAAGTTCTAATGCAATTGCTTTCTTTTCAATGAAAACAAAGTAAGTAACAAGAATCTGCAAAGAAGTTACTCTGAGAATTCGCTGTTCGGGATTGTCACTCATCAACCAATAAGCTTTTTGTAAGTTCTGAACTCCGTCGTCTATTTTGTCTGAAGCCAGCTGACAGAAGCCTCCCCAACATAGGAGTTTTCCTTTATCATCTTCTAGCAAAGAAAGCTCGTCGGCTTCGTGGAGCAGCGTCATCGATCTTCCACATTTCCCCCAAGTCACTTCAGCGAATGCCAAGGACACCAGTAACTGGCTTTAGAACACGTTCTTTCTAAACGTCTATGCTACTTCAGTTGGGAGATCATAAATATGTCGATAATTTTTCCCTCGCACCAGAAAAGGGAATCCAGAAACAGTTCTGATTTTTTCAGGACACCAAATTCAAAGTCACGTGTCCTAGGATCGGAACAGCACTCCATAACACTCTCAATGATATTCTGCTTCTCTTCGTAGAAATCGATAAATGCTTGCATGGAATGTCCTGTCAAAAACCGTTCATTTAGCTTCTCAAAAAGAGAGACGTAAAATGCAGACAGGCGTGCTTTGGAGTTCAGCATCGTTTCTTTCATTTCATCTTCACCTCTTTCTCTTACAAACGACAGAAGCAACGTATGCATGGAAAATGAGTCAGGTTTACAGCTGGAGTCGAGGAAAGATTTTCTCCGAAGCCTATGCAAGATTTTTCGGGCCTCAAGAGTTGTTTTCACGCCCATGACAGCTGCAGCAACCGAGTAGTTAAAATCTCCTGAGAGAGCGCTTAGAGATACGAGTGCCTCTTTCTCTGGTAAAGAGAGTCTCTTAAACGAGGATTTAAATAGGCAATTCAATCTCAGATTGCTTGGATAGTCTAGATTGTCTAACAGCTCGAAAATGTTTCTTGCTATAGATTCCTTAAAGTCTTTTAGAAATTGATTCGGCCGGGCATTATTTTCAGAAATGAAGGAACAAAACAGCTTCGTGGCCAAAGGTACGTTTCCGCAGAGTCTTGCAATTTTCGAGCAGTCAGATGCGTTTGCGCTCGGAAGTAATCTGCCGACTAAAGTTTGAGAAAAGGACTCAACTAATGGCCCTATTCTTATGGCACGATGGCCTTGAAAACGCAAATTCATAAATTCAAGAGATTCCCTTGTCGTAATAAGAAACGATACATTTTTTGACTTGACTGAGAATGACTTCAAGGAAATTTATGAAATCCTCCCTCACGTTCGGTTCTCCATTTTCTAGCAAGTCATCGGCATTGTCGAGAATCATCAAAAATTCATCAGCAATTTCCTCCAAAAATTAGAAAAGTTCGTCGTCTTTGGACATTTGCTGAGGCATTTGATCCCTACTGGAGTGTTTCCTGAAAAAGCTAAGAAGCTTTGGTTTTAGATCCGCTCTTGACTGAAGTCCTCGCATGGAGAAAAAGTACACGGGTAGTCCTTTATAATGGAGTTGATGTTCCAATGTGGTTGCTACAAAAGTTTTACCAAACCCAGGCGAGCCCAACATCGACACGATCTTGGTATCTTTGGAAGTCAGGACGCTGCTGATGTCTTCACATTCTCTCTGATCGCCACTGAAGTGTAACACTAGCAAAGGAAGATTTGATTGTGGAAGAAATGGCTTTGAATCTTCAAAAACAAAAAGATAAGAATGTGAATATAGTAGATTCCATTTGGAAATTATTAACTTAATATAATCTGTTCATATTGTCCATCAGCAGCATAATTATGTTATTAAATGAATGGTTCTAAGATAAAAACAAAATTTTGATAAAGACATGTACAAAGCATTCTTACGCACAAAGGAAGCTGTATCGTTGAACTGCTGCGAAGGCTCAACTATCTGAGTGGGGTGTTTGATACCCATGTCGCTCATGTTCTTCCCAATCAAATCAGAGGTAATGGCGCTATGCCGCAATGCATTTTAAACTATTTGGCGACTCAGCAGTGCTAAATGAGAGAAATAAATTTATACCTTTGCGGTCTTGCTCTATCTTTAGTGTCAATTTATAAATTTTTTGCTCCAACAAAGTGAAATGTTCTTCACTGGCATTCAAATGCATTCTACCCAGCGCTCTTAATTCGTTTACAATTGAATTCACTTCCGCGAGACACTCGATATATGCCTGTGTCTCCAGTCTACGACTTTCTTCCAATCTGCGAACCTCTTTGGTGGGGAAGTTAAATTCTGTCAATCCACTGATGGCGTGAATGGGATCTGTCTTGACACCAAGAGCTTTGAATGCTTCCTTAGCAAGCTGCACGTATCGGTCAAAGGTTCGTTTAACAATCTCTGACCTGTCTGAGGGACAAAGTGAGTTTCTTAATAGTCGAAGCTAATCAATACGCAAGAGCGAATTTTTAGGCACTATTTCCATTTGGAATCACAACAGACGCATGGAACTTTCCAGGAGGTATTTTATGGCGCCTTACGTAAAGCTCACTTAGAGTCTTGTAATGACATTTGCTATCTGGCATAGCAAAAGACCTTGCATAGATGGTTGCCTGGAACAGAGCTGTGCAATCCCATTCTAGGTAAGAGAAGTGTGTAGGGACTTTGGTTTTTTCACCTTCTTCAGTGATAAACATATTTCCTGCCACCGTGGAGTCATCCCACGGTTGATATCCGGGACGATGTCCAACCATGTTGTCCCACATAGATTTGAATGTCTGACGTAAAGCAATCGCGAACTCATTCCGTACCATCGAGGCAAATTTAAAATAATTCAGCTGCTCGTTCGTAAAAGGCTGTAGAACCATCCTCAACCAAAATCCTGAGAGAGATTCAATTTGTTCAAGCATACGTGTTAAGCGAAGTTACACGGGGTTCATGTATAAGGGGAAAGGAAAAAGTTCTTTCGTCATACTTTATCGCACATGCGTACTGGCTCTATTAATTGAACATGTCAAAATCGATACAGAAAGTGGTTATACAACTAAACTAATTGAAAACTCACCTTTACTCTATATTAAAATAAATATGTACAATTTGAATTCGCTTTCTGTTTGGATGTCATGCTCCAGAACTTTTTGATTAAAAATAAAAATATTTCTCTCTCGAGCGTCAAATGTTGTATCTCATTAAAATGCCGCGACCAAGAAATAGGAAGACTGTCACGCCATAGAATGGATGTGCATATTAGAACCTAAAGTCCTCCAAAAAATCATCTCAATAGGCTTCGTTTACCGTCAAAACTTTTTTTTCAAATCTCAACTCCAAGTTATTGAAAGGCTTTAAGAGAAAGAGAGTTTTCTTTGTCAGCAAACAGTTTGAATTAATTTCACGCGTGGAATGATATTTTCACGGTATTTTGATTTACATGTTTATAAAATTTAGAACTCTTTTAGTCCCTAAAGACTTAACATTTGTTGTTCTAACTCTTCGCAAGACTTCCCGAATGGGATTACGAATTTGCATGGCATGAAAGAGAAGGCACGAAGAAGCAAATTATTGCGCATCTGAAGATAACAGGAAATTGAAGGATATAAAAAATTGCATGTTGATTTATGCTAAAAGCGGCATAAACGTTTACATTCTCCTTATGATGATGACTATAAATGCACTCAGCGAATTCCAAACGCCAAATCCTCAGTTACTGGTGGCAGTGATCAGAAATCGGGTGCTGTGTCAAGTCTAACAAACTTAGGAATTTCTTAGATCTGCATCTATATTGACTGTTAAATTGTTTTATTATATTTCGTTAATAGTTTAAACATTTGCTACTTACCTTCCCTGAAATTCAAGTTGAAGTAGGGAGTATCATGATCACCAACACAGGCTGATTATTTCAACGTAAATTAACCAACTGCAAGACTGCCACTCCAAATTTATCCAGTGACTGACTGTGATGTTATGGCTTGTTATTCATGACACATGGAATTTTTAAACCATTACCACGCTAAACGCCTATGCAGTGAAGGGTCCTTTGTCCTCGAGAAATGTAGCGTATTGGTTATTGGTCAAGCACACCCTAGCAAGGGAAATTTCCCTTTTAATCCAAACAATACACTCAGTATTGTGTAATTTCCGTCTAGGAACTAGGTGGCCACCCCGATATTGCTTTTCAAAATCCTCCGACTTTATTCTGACTTTCTTAATCTTACACGCAAAAGAGGCGTATTTTATTTAGTTTTCTAGTTTATCTTTTTCATCTTTCAACTAAGCAGAAGGAAACTAAAGATGAGCGCGATAGAAGAATCACACGAAAGAGTGTGAACGACTTTTTGTAACTCTAGACCCCACGCGTGTTTCCTGCTCGACCTGCCCTCGGCTCGTGCTCTCCCTCGCAAAAGCAAATCACTATCATTCTTGGATCAACCTGGCGCAAGGTACTGGTTCTCTCACGGCGAGAGAAACTGTAGCTTGCGTCAGACTGTTAGTCAGTGGAGACGATGTAAACAGGACACCTCAGAAAATCACAAAATGATGATTTCCACTCAAAAACGTTTTTAGTATAAGGTGACCAGAAGGAGGCTTGAACAAGAACTTGCGAGCTTACTTTAAATAACATTCTTTTATCTTCTGTGCTGCCCTTTGAATTACCAAAACTGCGCAGTATATGTTTTTCATCCACGAGACAAAAAAGTTATACGGTCCTCTCACAGTTCCGTATGGTTCTCTTTGAGTGTAAATAAAAGATCACTCGTCAATCTGCTCTTGTAACTTCTTTGTTAGTTCAATCTCTTGTTCTAACTTATGTCTAATGCCGGAAAAAAAAACTTAGCTCTGTAGCACGCGCTCGATTGGGCGCGAGTGACGATCTCGTTGCCAAGCTCCTTTTTCTATGGGGGAGGACAGAACCCTGGGAACTAGTCGTAAAGCCTAGTTCCCATTAGCGACATAATGATCATAATCATAATCATAAGCACGAACATAAACATATGCTTCTTATGTTCTGCTGGCAACGGTTTTCAACTGCACTCGCAAGCTTTTCCTCGAATCTGGCCGCCATCTTGAAATGAACCGACCCGAAAGTACTAGACCTAGACTTTAATTGGCCAAAACACAATGATCCTGTTGCGTCATTATGTTTCTCGTTATGTCGTTATGATTTTCTCGTTCCCACTACAAAGAAAAGCAACATAGTCATAGTCATGGTCAGGGACATTATGATTATGTTGATCACAAGGGCGCCTATGATTATGTTTCTGGACGTTCCCACTAAGACACAAGCAACATAACAGCGTCATGTTCATGCTTATGATTATGATTATGATCATTATGTCGCTAGTGGGAACTATGGCTTAACTATGCAAAGACTAACCGTAACCCTGGGATATGTAACAAAGAATTGTACAAACTTCTCAAGTCAGGGTATCGCATGAAAAAACCGGCCATATGTTCTGATGAGCTGTACGTTCAACAATGTTGTTCACTTGTGCAATTAACATAATGATTATTTTACACCACAATCTTACCAAGAAAACTTAAAATTGGCTGCGATATTGCACAGTTATGCAATTAGCATAATGATTATTTTAAACCACAATCTTAGCAAGAAACCTTAATATTGGCTGCGATATTGCACAGTTGATTATTGTGTACCGTAAAAAAAATTTAAGCGTTCGATTGAGTGCGCTACGCCTCTCCATATAATTAGAATTCGTTATTTCTTCAATATACTTATTTCTTCGCATCCAGTATACTTATTTCTTCGTAAAAAAAATTTAAGCGTTCGATTGAGTGTGCTACGCCTCTCTATGTAATTAGAATTCGTTATTTCTTCAATATACTTATTTCTTCGCATCCAGAGCACTACCACGGTGATAAAAAAAATTTTTTAAGAATATAGTCGTCATAGCAGCGACGATCTGGCCAAAATATACGACGCGAAATGCATCTTAAAGAAAATTTATTTAAACGTATGTAGTGAAACGCTCTAAGCGATTACATTGTTCTCCTTCCTTTATTTCTGTCGTCATTTTTCGGAAGAGCAGTAATGATAAATAAGACGATAGCTTCATTATAGCACCATTGCTCCCATTTACACCAGATTCCTTATATCTTATCAGATACGAGTTGATGTTAGACTGTTGGAAGGAAGACCCACAGGAGAGACCATCATTTGAACAGCTGAAAACAAAACTGGAAGAAATGATGACAAGAGACACTCCTTGTTTCGATTTTAATGCAGACTATGAAAGCAATGCATCTAACACTAATAATGATGATAACAATAATATAATAATAATGGTTTGATGACGACTTTTCTACAGGGAAGCTCTACATTTGTCATGAACTAAATATGTGACTATATAAATAAGCGACAAAACCCAATAGTGACCAACCACATAAATGATTGATGTTTGGCTGGATAGGTTTTCAGAAGCGATTTTGTTGTTCATTCATACTCGATAATTTGCAAAATAGTAACAAGGGAACTTGCTATTGTTAAATATATTTTAAATGAATATTAATTATCGTAGTTGATTTATCAATTGGCAAGAAATCGCAAATATTTTTGGCGTCCAGGATTTAACTGAAAGGCTTTACCCATAGTTAGTAGAGGGCGCTTGTTCCTCCTTGTGCTTTACTGTCTTATGTCTTTTTAATCCAGCCTTAGTCTTGCATTTCTTTTGGCACAACTCGCAAAAAATTCCCTCTTCGTATTGAACCTCAAAATCGAAAGACTTTCAGTAAAAAAATGTTGTACTACGACCGATGCCGTTGCTAAGGGCATCAATAACTACAAAGTTTTTGGGCGAAAATAACGTTTTAAAGGCTTCTCAAAGACTTAGAGAGTCAGCTGCTTCGACAAAGTGCTCTTGTAATTCTTCCTCGTTTTCCAAAGTTCCAATATGGCATTAAATTCGTCGCCGAAGAAAAATAAGTCGTTCATGTCCGCCATGTTGTTTTGGTTCTGTGCAGGGTCATTGGTCACGTGACGTTCAATCGAAGCTCAGGGGACAGACAATAGGCCGGCCCTTTGAAGCTTACCGCGTTTCCTAACCAGTCCCCTCTACTAACTATGCTTTACCAAAAGACATTATTCTAATGATAGCATTGCGTTTAAGGTAAATGAACAAGTGAGATTGAAAATAATTGTTCTCTTTTTTATCATATGGCTGTGGGTTTTCCAGTAATATAAACGATAGGTTTTTGACCAATCATGGTGCTCGTAATATTTCAGTTATTTTGTAAAGTGTTTGATTAATGACTAAGACTGAGATGAAATCCCCAAAAGCGTAAAAACCAAGAAAGAATCTGCCTAACAAACAACTGGCCCTTGACGTGACAGTCATAACTTTTAAACAGAATAGCTTACAGTTGTACCAAACTGGTTCTACAAGCAGAAGTGTCAGTATGTATCTTATCTACAGAGAAAACTAGTTTTTCATGGAATTCAAAATATAAAATGCTATTTTAAAATCACATCAATTCCAATTAAAAAGATTAGGATTTTACATTAGATTCGTCACCCTTTGTCATCGCAGTGAACACAAGGGATACCCGACTTGCACAGACCTCCGCCGTTTCACAGCATTGCCTGCGCCTGAAGGGAACAAAGTTTATACGTTGATCGTGACACGCAGAGTAAAAGAAACGATTTACTTAAGACCTCACCCTAATGACATCAACAGGGGATACTGGATTTGAAATCCAAGAAGCATGGTTAACAACAACAAAAAAGAAAAAAAGCAAAAACAACCAAAAGATTAGAGCCGCGCCACGGCAGATTACTAAGCAAAACGATCTCCATGATGACGTGTTTCCAATCGAGCGTATTGCCTGAATAAGACTCGCCGTGATAAAGACACGATCCACATCGGAAGTGTTACATGCGATTATACTTCACTACCAGTATAATTGTATAGTGGCACGTAAGAGGTCATGTACTTGATGTACTTTCACTTCGTGCCTCTATCACATGACAAACTCATCTAGAGTTCATTTTCTTAATCTATGTCAACCAGTTCTTGGCTCGTGCTGGTTTTTAAATTGGCTTTACTCTTGTCAGAATTCTCAATCGTAGTCTCAAGCAAATTAAGTTTTTTCAGACGGGTGCCTTCCTCAACCGCCTGACCAAGAGCGCAGAGCATTGTGGACATCATAGAGAATCCTAGAATGACCCCTGCTGCCATCAGTAGGTATTCACTGAGACCAACCCTTCCTTCCCCGAAAGGCAAGAAATCTCCCAGTCCTATGGTACTAAATGTTAGGAAACAGAAATAAAAACTCTCCAAGTAAGTCCAATCTTCACGTCTTAAATCTGCCATAAAAGAAATAATAAAAAGAATGAAGATAGCCAGAAAAGTGGCGACCAAGGCACTTTCAGTTGCCTCATGGTGTTCCGTGTCTCGTTTGAGAAATTTGTTTTTCATAGCCCTGATCATTTTAGTAATACTCTCGTTGATATTTGTACCCACTAGCTTGCAAAAAACACAGGTCAGTGGTATTCCAAACAGCGCATACACAATACAAAATATCCTGCCCCATGAGGTCAAGGGAACTATATGGCCATAGCCTGCAGAAAGAAAGGTACAACTATTACAAGAAAGTACAACAAAAATAAGAGTAATGAAAGTAAACCACCAACAATTCATTTCCTACCATTCTGTTTATCCTTTTCCCTAAATGACGCCTGGAATAACCGAAGATAATAGATTGTAATCATATTTCCGACTTTGATGGTGTTATCTCACAATTTCGCTTCGCATGCTCCGACAAAAATGTCGAAAACTGTAAAAAATCACGAGGACGAGGATGGGTCGGTCACTTAGCTGTAAATGCTCTTAGCTCCGCAGGCGTATTCCGTAATTTCGCTTCAATTTCACCAAAGTGGTATGCTGATTGCACGTCCTTTTTCAGAGGGTGAAATATCATAATTCACTTACATGTAAATTTGACACACTTTTATTTACTGCCATGCTCTGAATAAAGTTCAAAACTGCAGGCAGCACCGAATACGACATAAAAGAATTAGCAGGAGTTATAATAGTGAACTGAACGTCTCAAAGGCGCACTTTTAAAATGTATTTTGAGTGTTTAAAAGTTATAAGACGATTAAATTGTGCTATGCATTTGGGGGATCCTCTTGGCCTTCTCTCCTTGATACAAACAGCGTTATCAAAGTAATTTCTAATTACGAAGAGAGTAAGGGGGTAAACTGGCGCCATTACTCGAAGGAAGAACGCAATCCTAATTTTCCCTTCCACCTCTATGAAAGTCCCTGAAACCTCAAAGAAAATTGGTTTAAATGCATGTATGACAGAAGTCATGTATGTTGTGTGCTGATGCCTTATAAAACTTAAACGACATTAAGGCTGATACTTTCGAAAGAAACTGTTTGGGGCTGCGTCGGTGGGAGTAACGAAATAATTTAGGTATATCAACAAAGTTGAAATGGTAAATTGGCCACCGTAACGATTACAAAAGCTGACGTTTCGAGCGTTAGCCCTTCGTCGGACGAAGGGCTAACGCTCGAAACGTCAGCTTTTGTAATCGTTACGGTGGCCAATTTACCATTTCAACTTTGTTGATATATCCAAATTAAACGACATTACTCAGTGAAACAAAGCCAAGATACTCTGTTTTATGAGAATTCTCAGTCTTCATAAATCTTGGAAATAATAAATTGATTAATAATATTATGAAAAATATTTTTCTAGAAACCTTTTTGTACTCACCGACAGTGGTCAATATTGTCCCTGCAAAAACGAACGCATTGCCAAACTTCCAAGTTTCTATTTCTGTCGAAGCGTAGGGACTTTCGAAAATCTCCCTTAATTTGTTGAAGTCCTCATCTGAAATGTTGTATTTGCCCTGCAACGAAGCGATCTCAGATTTTAAACGAGTCTTTTCCTTTCTTTCGTTTTGCCTCTCGATAGCCTGGAAAATAGTTGCTCCAATTCCAAGGTAACTGACCCAAACTAAACACGCCAAGATAAGTTTGGCACATTTTCGAAAACTCATGTTGGTTAGGTAAAGGATTTGATGCGATGCAAGATGATGCTGTGAAGGGAACCATAATAGTGCGTTCTTAACAAAAATCACTTTTAAGGTGTCGCTGTTATTAATCGGAGTATGAAATATGTCAACAAGTGAAGCTTATGAAATGAATCTTTCATGAGGCTCGATTGGCGGACTAAAGCACCAGCTGCCTTATGCAATGGATATCAATCTCAATCCTGTTCCATAAGAAAAGAACCGAAATACATTTGAGAACCTTAGCCGTTCAACAATAAGGTCAGCCTATTCACTGGCGACGTATACGTATCATAAACCTAAACCGCAACTAAAAAGGGAAGGAAAGATTAATTTACCGTTCTTCATTTTGCCGAGATATGCATAATATTCATGCAGTCATGGCGGTTATTTTAGTGGGTCATAATTAAAGTTAAATCTTCCAAACAAGGAAACTTTACACTCTAGAAGGGACGTTAAGCAGTCAGAACGGCAAGGCCGAGGAAAAAATTTGATTAACAAATGAATTAATATTTTTATTTCGAATTTTGCAAATGGCTTTGTGTTTCCTTCTCTAACGGCGCCACATCCCAGCTTTAACGTAATATAGCAGTACAATGCTGATTTCCAAATAGAATCTTCAATGACTCACCGTCAGACCACTCAAAGATTTATGATGATTTCGCGTTGTTGTTTTGCAGGTGACGGCTTAGAGATGGCAAAGTTTTAAAACGCTCATGCTGAGCTATTGTTTTGCTAATTAGATCTTTTGTTTTTCCTCCTTCATCGACGTCGGGGTTTCCTTAAGGTCCCTCTTAAGAATTGATTGCTGTCTCAGAAGAGCGAGCGCTGGTAAACGTCGGTTGGGAATCTTTCTAAACTCTCCCACGAGTATTTCGCACGCTGAATTGTGTGTAACGTGATTGTAATTTGTAAATTAAACCACCACAATTATCCATATTAATATAAACATTTATAATTCAATAAAATGCGGCAAACAGCCAAATCTTTTTAAAATACACTGAAAGAAAAATACGTATGTGNAACATCGATTGACAGTCAAAGAGATCAAGGTTACCAAATCGCTCGCCATTGTTATGTTCGCGTTTGCATTGTGTTGGATTCCATTTTGGATCATTGTGATTCTAGAGCGCTTCGCATCTGATGCTGTCGTTCCACGTAACGTCCAACTGCTATGTCCATTTTTGATGTTCTTCTCGAGTACCATCGACCCATTTATTTATGCAGACATGAATCTTCCTTCCGGGCCGAGTTTCGTCGAATTTTGCTCTGCAAAGTAAAGTCATCACCAGTTTGTAAGAAGCGTCGTGGTCCGAAAAATGTTGAGTTAAAGAAAATATCGACGGGAAGCGCCCGTGGCATCGAGGATCAGGAAGAGGAGGGAAGTACCTCAGTCACAACCGTAGGACTGGGTGGTTAAGGAAACCAAGGACACTAGTAAGATGAAATCAATTTAAGCGATAGATTTAATTCATTTACTTTTACAGCATTATACCTGTATTCCTTACTCTATTGCATGTTAATTTAATTGATCTTGAATGATGTCCGTTGTTAATCGACATTACGTCAATTTCAAGTTTATCTAGATTTTTTTTTTAAAATGATGAGCAGAGATAAATATCGAATACAAGGATACTGGAATTGAAAAACAATATGCTTGCTGCAAACAATGAAACTGAAAAAAGACTTCCTCTTTTGCATAAAGCAAACAACGTCATTAGTTTACGAAACATGTTTCGATATTATTGTAATGTCATCTTCATTCAATTAATTACGTTATCGAATTGCAACGTTAGATTACGCCTTGCATGGAGAACGTGATCAGTTTGAATGTACTTCTAATAAATCGAAGCATGAGAGGGCAAAAGTGGCATTTTAAAGTAACCCAGGAAAAACGAAAACATTCGTAATAATTATGATATGCTTAGACTTGTTTCCAATACAATGCGCGCTCTGATTGGCTAATAGCGAGACCAGAACATGACGTAAACATGACGTAAACAATCGAGCGGTTTCTGTTGGCAACATTATTTCTGATTACTTCATTTAGTTTTAGATGCTCAAAAGGCTTATAAAGTTCAGTTCATCCATAAATCTCTCAACTGGCGAAGATATGCTGTCGAAAGCAAAGGCGACGATTGAAATATTCTTTACAAAGCATTTGCATTTTCTTTCACCAAGGGCCGAACATGTTTGAACTATTTTGAAGCACTTTTCAGCATGACTTTTCTGTATGCACTCCAGTTGATGTTTTCCCTTAAAAATCGGTCAAATTTTCTCTCATCAAGTTGTGATACCACTATGCTGGAACACTTTTTAAGACTCAGAGAATCACTTTCCCAAAAACATTAGTGTTTCTTGACGGAATACGCGATAAAGTGGTGTAGTTCACTGATTGCATAGTTTTACTGTGGGTTTGAGTCCGATGAAAGGTTAAACGCACGCATCGCTGGATGTAAATTGACGACTTCTGAACCGCCGCCCAGTTAGCCCAATGGAGAGTGCGCTGGACTGTTGTGCGGGAGGTCGAGGGTTCGAGAAGAATTTGCTACCTTTCTATAACATCAAGAAATGGTTAGATATTCTAGTCTTCTCGGATAGGGACGAATAAATGGAG